CGTAAATAATCGGCGACGCATTTGCATTTTTTACTGGCAGCACTCTAACAAATTAATTTTACAACCGATGAGACGGAATAAAAATAAAACGAATTGGAAATGAGAAAAATTAGCGAAACTTTTAAAGCTTGATTTATACATAAAGAATGATTAAACGGAAAAGTGTTGAAAATTGCGGAACTCTTTGCCACTTTTATTGGACAAGCCACTTCCTTTTATCCGAAAAAAGTTATCCCTGCGCGCATTAATTATATTCCGGTGCCAGGAAAACGGCAAAGGACAATATCAGTCTGATCAATCTAATCGCTTAACCGCATCACCCTCGCTCTTTCTCTTTTGTTTTTTGTGTTTGTTCTAGTTTTCGGAATGCAGCTGTGTAACAAAAGCAGCCGAAATTACCGCTTTTTACTGGCAGTGATGCCGAACCGTGCTTTTTTTTACTTTACGCGCTGCTGTAGCAGAAAGGGCGTGGCCGCGACTTTAATAATTAATACTTTCGTGAAATAAAAATATGCAATTAGAGTAATAGCGTTGTTTAATACGGAGCGAACAAATTAATTCTTGAAATTTGTGACAGTTCAGGGAGAAAAGCGTGATAAATTATGTTTGGTACTACTTTGGGTTAAATTTAAGTGCAAACGTGAGTCAGTGAGCCTTGTTCATTGTTCCTCTTTGATTAAAATTATTTAAAAAGATTTGCCTTGATAATATGAAATATTTTCTCGTAAATTTTCTTTAAATAAGTAGTCATTTCCCTGAAATTATGTAAAAGCTGTTTATCAGGATATGTTCATTTCATATTAATCACAATTGATACTGTTTACTTTACAAATTCCATTGATTAAGAATAAAACAGCTAAGAAGTGAATCAGAAAAATGTTTATTAAGAAAAAAAATAAATGATAATTGATGATCATAATACTCGATAATATTGTGATACAGAATTTGATTAAAATAATTATAATTTAAAATTTAAAACAAGCAATGAACTTTAAACAAAAATTTAAAATATAGTTGATCCCAAATTAAATAAAAAAATGTAAAAAAAAAATAAAGCAATTATTTTATTATTTGCTCAATATTTTTTTCTATGAAAATATAATATTTACTGATATAGTTATTGTAATTCATGTCATGATTTGCCATCTCTGGCTCCATCAATAATTACGCCGGTCAGGCAGGCAACCGGCTCGACGGCGGAATGAATGAATGAACGAAGGACGCACGCGTGTGCATTATTTTTCATTTATTTACCCATCACAGGTTGCTGCTCCACGGCTAAGCTGGGCAGGCAGGCGACTTGCATGACACGCCGAGCTAAGAAGTGACGTATAAAATAGCATGTCTGCAGCCCAGCTGAGTGAGTGAGTAAAGGGACCAACAACACACACACACACACACCTTATTCTTCTCAAAGAGCAGAAGAAGCACGCACGCGGCGTTCGACTCTCAATTCGCGTTCCGATAATATTAACAATGCTGATAATAAATAACACTCTCGCATGAGACAGCGGATAAATGGGCCCAGACCTTGCGTGGGTCATCCTCAAAGGTGTGCGCATGCAACTGAACACGTGACGTAATTGCAATTAGTACCCTGACCTAGACATTATGCGTGCCACATGCAACCGAAAACCGCCGGCCGCCGCGTGACGGGACGTGATGACTTTGTCTGAAAACACACACACGTAAGGCGAATTTTCTTTTCCCGCTCCTCATTAGCGGGTTTCGCGCGCCCCACCAGAATATTGCACTTCGGCGGTGCGGAAAATTCGAAATTTACGACCTGCAGACAAAGTGGGCGCTTTACGACGCCTAATTATTTCGCAGAGAGAAAATTGGCACCGCGTTGTTTACAAGAGTTTGCGCGAAATCACAGTTCATTCCGCTGAAATGATAATTAGCCTCGTCCTGCTCTCACTTTTATCATTTTATACATTTGTCAGGAGGAGCGTAGATATTTTAAATATTTTAAATAATTCAAAAGTTTTAACTAAAAATTTTTCTGTTTACTAAGAACAGTAAACTATAATATTATTAATTATGCATTATTATTGTTGTTTTTATTATTATTAATATTATTATTATTTGAAAAAAGCTAATTTACCTGAGTAAATACTGGGAGATGTCTCGCGCCAGGCCGTTTATGGTAGCTTCTCTTTGATTACAAGACATAAAAAGGCAGTGCCCGCGCGCCCAACGTATATTATAATGTATATAAAATATTTATGTTTGGAAAATAAATTAACTCGCGCAAGTCATTAAGATTTGTATCCATGATTAGTTGGTTTAATTAATTCAATTAATTGTTAATAACAGAGCCTTGCTCGGCACACACACACTCGTATATAATATTAGTAACAATATATAACAGCGCACACAATAATGATTTTGAGTGTGTTTGTTAATTTAACTCCGTGCGTATATCGGCCGGTCATCTCTCTCTGTTCTTCTCTCCCCGTTGATTTCGCCTGTGGCCTTTTTTAAGACTCGCGTCGAGTGCTTTTTGATACGCGCGCGCTCTCGGTTATAAAAGAACCTTGAGACGGCCGCCGGTGTGCGCTCATTGAAGGGGGCGTTTCTATATTTATGATTGCGCCGGCCAGATTATCATTATACGCGCGGACGCGATCGCCGCACTCAGTGAGCCGGGAATTGGTATTTTAGCGCAGTCATTTACCTACAGCTTCGTTAGTTTGAGTATTTTTTAATTAGATTAATCTCACCTGAGCATCTCTCTCGATCCGTTTTCCCAAACAGTATAAAATTATTTTCTCTATCAGCGCTTTCTTCCAGCAGGTATTTGTTTTTTTCCTTCGGATCACTTTAGATGACCCCAAATAGTGAATTTTTATTTCACAAAAAAAAGAGTTGACTTATTACACTAAAAAACGTCATTTTTTATACTCTGAACTCAAGTATTTTGTTTCAAGTTGAATGGTATTGAATATTGAAGATAATTAATAAAACTGATTTTCATATTTGGTATTGGACGAGAAAAAGAACTTAACATCATAAATTAGTAGCTGTTTTCAGTGATAAAATTTTAATTTCAGATATTGCAGAAAAATTAATTAAAGTTTTAATTGGATCAAATTACTTCTGAAATGAAAAAAAAAACACCAATTCATTTATTCCAATTGAAAATTGGCCAAAAAATTATCAAAATTGAGCAAAATATTTATGATTTTTTGTTACGAATTAACCCCTTTTTTTTAAATACAGAGAAAATTATGATCAAATTTGAGGTAAATTGAGAAGTATTCTAGATCCTAGTGCCGGTGCAAAATGCATAATTTGGCCAGGCGCAAATTTTATTCTTGAGATCATGAAAGCTTTTACGGTGCTAGTATTTGGAAGATAATCTGATGTAATTTCAAAATTCTAATATTTCCTGAGAAGTTCTCCACGTAGATTGAAAGACATCACTCATTTTCTCGGAGGCAAATGCGCTCTGAATGGAAATTAACTGCGTTATTATTCTCCGCGTGGCCACTTTATCAGTGGCAATAATTCAATTTCACTCGTACCTTTTATTATTATTAAAAGACCATTACCTCCGAAGACATTTTTCTCCCGTAGAAGGAGCAATAAATAATCTCTCCCCGGCTTAAATTGCCTGATTGTTTCCTTTATTATACTCTGTATCAAAATTGATTAATTTTCGGAAGGGGGATATAATTTTGATTTCACCTGCGTTGTCGATTTGCATTAGCACAAAGTTGGACTAGCAAAAAGCATAAGTAGGGTCATTACCCGTAATAATCTCTCAAACAATTCATTTTTTTTATTCATATTCAGCAAGACTCGCTTACTTAGTTATAGTGGAGAAGGGTTCTGTTTTGTTGTTGCATTACACAATTTTTTATATACCTGACGGCGCGTTGGTTGCTTTTCCCTCTCCTCTTCGTTCGCTATAATTTAACTCATTCGAAACTGCTTTATCAACAGCGGAAGTTTCTAGGCAGATGGTATTATTTTATAGCCGACATATAAATGTGTGCGCTGCTCGCTCATTTCACTTGGTCGAGGCCGCGCATCGAAATTTTACCCGCCTTGGAACATTTATCAAAATACTAAAAACTCGGAAATGAATTAATCAGTTATTAATAAAATTAAAATGCATTTCCGTATACCAATATTAATAATTTATTATCAAAAAGAATTTTTTTTACTGTTTTTAGTGTTTTTGCAGAATTTATTTCGCCAAAATTTGAAATGATTAAAATAATGAATGAATCAAAGAGTTCAAAAATTAATCCTGCTTTTGCAGATTCCCTTTCTACGAAATTGGAAGCGGCCCTCGCTCTCAGTCAGTCGCACTTTTTGCCGCTTGAAAAAATTAGCCGGTCGCCGGGGATTCGGTTTTCGAGCTCGGCTTTTCGGAGCCAGCGGCGATTGGGGGACATCAGTGGCGGCAGAAGCGAGCTGGGTCGGGGCTATTATTGTGATGTGGCTCGTTAGAGGCCAAATTTCTTTATAATATGCGGCTGGAAATATAAAGCTGGGCTCATTTAATTGAGACGAGCACTTTGAGGTGAAGACGTTGTTCAGTACTCGATAAAAAATTTTAAATTGGTAAAAAGTTAATCTTTGCCAGAGAGCTTGAATTTTTCTTAATAATGTTGTAAATTTTCTCATTTTTTTCTAAAAAATAAATTGCTAGAAGTTGCTATTAAGATTTATTTACATTTCTCGAACAGCAACAATACTGAGTAAAATTTTAAGTGTTTGCGAAAATAACAAAACACCAAAAATAAAGATCTTAAGAAAAACTTGCACCATGGAAATCCATCAAGAAATAAAAATTCAATGATTGTTCGTATGTTTGGGCAAAAAATATATATTTTTTTAATTATGTTAAAAGTTGAATATCAATGAAAAAATTCTGATCAGTTTCTGGAGGGAAAAAATCAATTTATTTGTAATGACAGTGTCCGTTTTTGTTAATTTTTGCCTAATTTATACTAGAATTCTCATTTATGACATTTTGATTTCAGTATAAAGCCGCCGCCGAAGGATGGAGTGGCAAAGAGCAACCCGAGCAAGCGGCACCGGGAGCGACTGAACGCCGAGCTGGACACCCTGGCCAGTTTGCTGCCCTTCGAGCAGAACATCCTGAGCAAGCTGGACCGGCTGTCGATCCTGCGGCTCGCTGTCAGCTACCTCCGCACCAAAAGCTACTTCCACGGTCAGTTTTCGCAGCCCATATTTCATGTTCATTGCCCGCCGTCGGCACTCGATTATTATTGTGATTACGCGCGCACTTTGCGACTTGTTTGCGGCGATTGTGTTCGATATACCTACCTATTCAAAGCGCCTGGATACACAAACCCATGCATTATATGTGGAGAGCGTGTTTATTGATTGAGAAATATATCAAGTCGCAACTCGTTTTTCATGCTCCAGACTTTCATCCGCATTAAAAAAAAAACGATTTAAAAAATCTTATTAAATAAACATTAAGAATTTATTATATTTGTGATTATATTAAAAAAAACATACACACACAATTCCCTACAAAATTTAAAGTATTTAAGAGTAATTTCTAAATTTATCAATATTGAATTTTTTTCCCAATAGCCACAGTATGAGCTTTTTAAATTCATTTTATAAAAATCAGGAATTTTTGATTAACTTTTAAGAGATTTAGAAGAAAGAGTGAGCAGACAAGCAAATTTTCTTTTTCCCTGGCCCATTAAGGGGAAGTAACTTTTAACACTGAAAATTTGGGGCGAATTTCTGATAAACTCGTACACATAAATAACTGTGCGCGTGCAGGCCCCTTATTTTGATGTTCGTCATTATTACAAACTTTTCCAGCATTTCTCAGCAAAGTGAATTTTTATTAAAAAAATGTCATTGTGAAAATTAAACTTGATTGGCAGTAAATAAAATAGTAAATTGAATCCTTTTGTCCCCTTTTGACGATCAAATCAATTAGGATGGACAAACAAGGGTTATGCAGATTAACACGTCGGTAAATAACAATCTGGCGCGCGCGGCGTGACTTGCACACCTCCGCTTTGTGTTGTTGATTTTGCTAGGCGTGGCAGCGCTGAATATCATTATACACACACAATATTTTCATATATGCGAGTAAAAAGATTCTCATTGTGCAGCGAATGAAAAAAGCTCAGCGTGTGAATCATTCATATTTATTCACTTCTTCCACTTGTCCGCGAGAAGGAGAAAAGTAATTTCTGTTGGCGCGAGGCAATAAAAATAAATTGCACACACGCCTTGCTAACCCTTCGGTTCCAATCGGTGATTTACGTCCGGATTAAAAGATCAAACAGAGCATAATTAGGCGCGGCGGCACGTGGTGCATTAAGGGGTTGGAAACGTGGCGCACACAATGAAGGGTGCGGTCACCTTTTCTCTGATGCGGACGCGTCGGCTGGGGAGCAAAAATAAATGTAATTTGTGCAGGTGATATTCCCACAGGATGATACACATTTTCTGTTCTTTATCGTGACGCGGCCGCCGCCGGGGAGAGATAAAAAATGGTCTTTGTGAGCGATGCATATAATTAGCCAAATGGTCTGAGTTTATGAGTCGTAAAAGTTATATGATGATAAATTAAAATTTTTTTAATTAAAGAGACCAACTTTTCGTGCTCAATGCATTGAAGGCTTTTTCGCTATCATTTCTATCACTCCAAAATTGTTAAAGAAAAAATGAATATAAAGATCAATAAGAAATGTATTATTTAACTCCGACGCTCTGAGACACTCTTTGGTATTGATTGGGTTTGTTTCTATTAGGCAAAAGAAAATAAAATAGTAATAATTAACAAAATAAATTCAACATGACATCTAAATCAAAATTAATTAATGGCATATTATCGTAAAGCTGCTTCATAAATATTGTTGAAAATTTTGACAGCGAGTTAAGTATTTATGGTAAAAGTTTTTCAAAAATAAAAATCTATTGTGTTATATTTTCAGAAAATTCCAAAGAGTACAATTGTTTTTTTACTTAAATTAAATCCCATACGAAGAGAATTAACTTACAACACCCTTTTACCTGCAAGAAAAAAGAAAATTACGTAAAATCTATAGTAAATCTAATTTAATTAACATAAATGCACAGGACCTTTACAAAGACATTTTCAGAGAGGAAATGAAAACGTATAGTTTGTGAAAAACGTCTCTCCTTTTATTCCCATTCAGCGCTATTATGCAAGATAACATCAAAAAAGACTTGTCTAGCTAATGCCTTTTATCACCATAGCGCCGGCCAGTTTAAGGTAACCTAATCCACTCTCAAACGTTCCTATAAAGTTGAGGAATTAATTAAAACAAAAAAATGCAGCAGCATAATTTCCCAGGTTTAATTAAAAAAACAGCGAGGAGAGAACATAATAAATTAGATATTATGACTGCAGGCGCGCCGGGCGCTCATTAATAAAATGGGAAAAAGCGCACCCATATCCAGAGGTCGCAGCAGAAAATAAAATAAAGGGCTGCTTGATTAAGAGGAAAAGAAAGAGAGAGCAAGATTGATGGCCAACACGCGCTTTGTGTCATCTGCACAGGTAATTAGGACTATGCCCATGGGCCAGGTGCTGCACTCTGGTATAGGAAAAGGAGGCGTATACAACTTTTATGTAATATTTTTCGTGCCATATCCCGGCAGACGCACGCACACTCTTTTTGTTTCCCCAAATGAGAAACGTAATAAACTGCCAACAACTGTAATTGAATATTTGATTTAGCATCCGTCGTTGCGCACCACCGCCGAATGGGGAAGAAAATTTCTCTCTCTCTCGCTTTGGTAGTGTTGCCGGGCGGAAGCATATTATGGGGATGGAAAGGCACTGGAAATTTTACAGCTGGCACTACTTTCAGATCACCGGGAATCATTTCGGCGCTTCGCTGACCTCCCTGATGATGATAGGGAATAATTTTTCCTGTTGCCACCCGGGGGGTAAATCATTTCCATTACCATTGTTGAGTATAATCGGAGTTATAATTACATTCAAGATTTAAGCTAAAAAGCCTTAAAATTTCAAATAATCAACTTTGGTCTTAGTTTTAAGACCGATTTGCCACATGTTCTAAATTTCAAAAGAAACATTTTAAAATCCCCTGGATTATTAGTTTGTTAAAATTAGATTTATTATTTTTACATGATTTTTAATTGCATCTTCCGCATTACAAGTGACTGGATATATCGCAGATGACGAATTAAATTTAAATTTTTGTTTTTATCATGATTACATTACACTCAACTTTTTACTTTTAAAACATAAAAAAGATTTAGTTGACGAATTTCTGTAAATTAGGTGATACTTATATTAACTAGGAAAAAAATCAAACCATATATCAAACAAGTTTTAATTTATTTTATTTAAAAAAAAAAAATGAAAAAAAAATATGCTATTTCAGCGTAGATCCAATCCATTTTTAAATGTATTAAATAAATTTACAATTTACAACTGAACACATTTATTTTTCTTTCTTTAATTTTCTTCAATTTAAAAATCTTAACAATCAGTCATATTTTATATTAATCAGGTCATAATACATAAGTCTTGAATTAAAACAATCGACCCTAATTTTGAGGGGAAACGGGAAACTTGACGATTGTCACGTACTATAGGTTTTCAAAAAGATAAAAGGGTAGTGGCGGTACTTTTCACATTAATTTCCTCAAGCGAGTAGCAGACTATCGCTTTCGGTGCTGTCAGAAATGCAAAGCGCGAGCAATTACCAAGTCTGTCTTTTGATAAAACCACGCGCGCAAAGCAATGAACTTGCACCTTGTGAATGTTGTTGCCGATTGTTCATGTTGAGGGACAGTCGGCGGTTATATTTGCGAATTTTTTTGTTTAGATAAAATATAAAAGTTAGAATTGTTTGCGTAATTTGTCGTTGGTTAATTGGATAAAGTGCGAATCACAACATAATGAAAATAAGAGCATGCAAAGTTACACAAAGATAAGTAAAAGCCTTTTCTATAATAATTTTCCTAGAAAGGAAAAATGCATCGCAAGAAAAATAAGCCTGTCAAAAAAAAATTAAAATTTGCAAGTTCTTATGATATGCTCTAACTTCAATCAAATAATTAATTATTTTGCGTCGGGACAAATTTCTTTGATGAAATTAAAGTTTTATTTTATTTTCAAACAACGGCCTGTACTAAGTTCAGCTTTAGTCGTTTGGGAATCGATTTCTTACATTTTTTCCATGCAGTCTGAACCGCCGCAATTAATCTTCGGTGCGGCCGTCATATTTCACCCAAATGTCCTCACAACCCTTTGATCCTCTCCAATTTCCCGCTAGAACACGATTTTTCGGCGGCCGCTCGACGGGGTTCCGGTAGGAAATCAAACCTTCCAACGCCCGCCGGTGAATAATAATAAAAAGAATAAGAAATGATAAAAAAAAAATTGACGGGGGGCGCGAGTGTACTACGGTGTGCGTCTCGGCCGGTCTGCCGGGGTACGATTAGATGGAAATGAGTGCACACCGGCGCGAGAGAGATCAGGGGCCGCGATAGCGCACCGCGTACTCCGCTCAGTCCGCTCGCCAAAGACCTCTTCTTGAGGGGCGTGCCCTGTGACCTGGGTCGATATTTTTATTCCCCAACATGGCGCGCGCAATAAACCTATGCGACAAAAGCGCGCGCCTTTCTTCTGTGTGCATAATATGGAAGTTTGCATGCGTTGAATAAATAAATTCAAGCCGAGAGTGCAAAATTATGGCCGGTGTCGGGAAAAGGGACAAAAAATAACTCGGTTTTTCAGTGGTACGCGGTGTGCATGCGAATAATTTGCAGTCCGTAGTAGTGTTTGTAATATATCGATTCCCCAGCATGCGTATTTTAGGTCGGCAGTCGACGGGTTTCTCTGAGTAATGTCACACTCGAAAGTCAATAACTCGCACTAATTAGATGCCAATGATCGCGCGCTCTAATCAGTGTAGCAATATTGATTTTCGAATGATTGTAAATATTTGTATTGAAACCATTAAAAAAAAAAAAAAAAAATCAAAAAATTTGCACATAAAAGCAAATTCTGAAACTAAAAGCAATTTTAGCAAAGACAATTATCTGCAATTCAAATTCCTAGCGCAATTCATACTGTCCCTTGACGTAAATATTACAAATACTTAATAACAAAATTTAATTAGTAAACACACTGAATTTAAAAACTATGGTTTCAATATAATTATTTTCTTATAG